CTGTTGACTCAAAAATACAATTGTTCCATTTTAATTATTCAGCTTCGGAACCCTAACAATATATGAACTATAACTGTGTGACGTGATTTGATAGATTCATAAAGTGTTACAGTTAAGATACATTATCTGATATCTAAGATTCATGATCACGATGTTATTATTATGATCATAAAATCTACATTTTCTACTGGTAAATTACCTTGGAGTAGGCACGTAAGCTAAATTACTATCATTAAATATATGTTTCGGAAGTCCATTGTGTCGTGTCTTGTACAGATATTAACGTTCTTAGTTGACGCATAGTTTTAAAGCGTTTTAAATTTTAATTTATTTGAAACTTAATAGTACGACTTGTAGCCAGCGTATTTATGGATTAGAATAAACTCTTTTAGGATATAGTTCATCCATCTGCGTATCAAATATTTAAATAAGTTCAACCAATGCTTTTTCAAGGCTTTTAGCCTTGAAAGAGCATGAAATGCCCAAACATCTTGACATATTTTCTTATTTATGATATTGTTAATGTACCTAAATGAACATGAATGAATGAATGAAATGGAAACCCAAGATAAATTCTCAACTTTTAATTAGCATTGTTATTTCAAAGACAAACAATTTTAATTATTACTGAGTTATTTAGTATTTTAAAAGTATCTTTTAAATATAATATTGTTTCTAGTGTCCTCTCTTAGTGTTATAAGATTTTTATTAATCGGTCAATTAGAGTTTTGATAGTAATATATATTAAAGGATGGCCATTATTGAAGCAGTGTTTTTTTTACGGAATAAATTGTTTAAATGAGCAATCTGAAATATCTAATTACATTTGCGTTTCATTGTCCTATGATATTTGCTCTTCTGATATTTGTAACTTGTGTAAATTAATACGGCATACATGGAATGAGTCTACATGAGACCCGCGGTATGCAAAGCTTGCATTTCTTGTGCAAGTGACTTCGTACAGCCGTGGCCTAGTTTGCAGCCGCATTGCGTAGGTCAGTCAATAGTGCGCCACTACACCAGTAAACCACACTTTCTCTTAACACTTTCACTCGCCGATCATTGTATGTTTGTTTATGGTTCAGACTCAATTGTTTTTGGTAATGGAATTTTAAAATGCAATTAGGCATTCAGAATTGTTAACGTAACGTTATTCCGCTGTAGTAAATGTTTTTATACTAATAATATTTATATTGTTGCCCGTAAAATTTGCGAATGCTTTCACGTAATAAAAAAGTAATATGAAAGTTATACTAAATTTTTGACAACTACTTTAATGTCAGTAGACTTTAGGAATACGCTGCCAATATTAACAAATAAAGCTTTAATTCTTCTTATACTTAAACTATTCAATATCATAATTACATTATTTTAGCCGTTAACCGTCCACTGCTGAACATAAGCTTTCCATATAAGAGGAGTTTTGCGAGTAGTTGTCACACTTGGCAGGCGCGTTGGCAACCGCAGTTAAGCTTTTAGAAATGTTTTAAGAGAGCCGCTGCTGCCCATCTCTCGACTGTTAAGTTCCCTTAATCGCCTCTTACGACACTTACAGGGAAGGAAAGGGTGGTCTATTCCCTGCCGGGACCACACGACTAAACTATCCAATATAATTGAATATAATACAAAAATGTAATTTATAAATCTAAATAATAATCTTTTTGTTCTATCATTAAACCGATAAAATTTTCTTAATTGGGTATTGATGATAACTTAGAAAGTATTAGAAAACCATTAGTTGCGATGGTTCTATACAAAAAAAGGGAAACGCTGAAATATTTATTATGAGTTTATTATCATCTAATTTATGACATTGACTTTAATCAGACCAACTCAATAGTACACTTTGTCAATTGAAAAACTACTCCGTCAATTGACTTAAGTGTACTCTTGTATTGTGTATTTAGAATCGAATATCTAACACTATGATTAGCGCTTTAATTTGTTGCATACAATACAAATAAAGAAATACAACCAAATGAATATATCCTTTGGAAACTTTTCTCTTTGTAGAGAGACAGAAAAAAAAATAGATCGTAATACGAAAAAGTACATTCTAAATTAAATCATGTTGAATTTGTTGGCATTTGTCGTTATAGGAACGAGGGGCGGAGGTATGGGAGTTTTCAAAGGAAAATACGGTCGTTAGACTATATTGCTACGGTCTCTATAGATTTTTTGCCTGTATTTTGGCCTAATAGTTTATTTCTTCACATCTATTATGTACGAGGAAACAAGTTGTACGGCTGCCTACGGTAATTTATTTCGAGAGTACTTAGACTACGCAAATAAAAACTAATAAAAAAAAATGAACGTTGAACCGTTTTAGCGATATTAAAAGAGGTTTTCATTTGATGGAACCTGTCTCTTATATTGATTCATTCTATTTTTGACGCATGAGTACCGTTAGTTTTGATATTATATGGACAGAGAAATGGATGGATTATTTACATACATCAAACAACAGTTGTATTAAAAAAGGAAACTTTTGAAACTGTTACATTAGATATTCTTTCTTTGTCTCATGTCTATTATTTACTACCAGTTAGGTAGCTATGCTGTTATAATCGTAAAAAATCTAATCCACTAATACTTTAGTCAAATTCTGTTTTATTATTTATTTATATGTTTTTGCACATTCCCTTATAGTATTATTCTGTTTATTCAATCCAACTCCTATTTTGTATTACCTACATACTTTGTGTCAATATTTATAAGCAATCACTATAACGTATAAATGTACTAACAGCATTAAGCATTCATTTGCTAAACCATAAACGTAATATTATCAAAGCGTTTCATTAAAGATGAAACATAAAACTGCGTCCGTACAAAGTCAATACAAACTTCACTGTATGAGTCACCGCTTTCCCTCGTACTCTTGCAGTATAAACATAAAGTTTTAATTAACATTTTCAAAACTTTCTTTTAGTTACTTACAATTGTTTGCTTTAATTCTGCTACTTTATACACCAACTTCTGTTAATTGCTTTAACAATATCAATAAGCTATTCTAATTTTTTTAAATGATTTCAAATAGCAGGAATTTTTCAATTTGTAAATTTTTTGTCAAATTCAATGTGCGCGTTACGTGATTACGTCGTCAGTTTACGCCCGATTTGTTATGTCAATTGTGACAATATTAATGTGCGATGAACACGAGGACCGCTGCTTTATTTGCAGTGCAACAAAATCCATTAATAGACATTCAATTTCACGTTAATTCAAATATTTTAAATTGTTAAAACCACAATAGAAGCCTACTTGTATTCTCGGAACGCAATGCAATAAAAAGTTCTTCTGTAACGACGTAATCCTTATAAACAGGTTGTTTGTCAATTTTGCGATGACACAGCGTTTTGTCGGAGCATAGTTTTCGCTTGTGCACATAAACAGTTCAGTCGAGACCGATGTCGGCGCTCTTCACCCCACTTTCCCCCTTAGGAGGTGGTCCGCCCCTCAACCCCCAAAGTTAACCCATTTTGCCGAGTATGTTATGAGTCCGTCTGTGCCCCCATCTATAACCCACCCTTGGTTCTTTCACGAGGTTTTTCTATTGTCTGTTGTGATAACACGGTCAGCTGAGACAATATTTTTACACAGTTCTAAAAGTCGATAACTAAAAATGACAAACTTTTGTCTCCTTATTTCTTTTCAGTTGGAATATTGACATCTAGTTTTCAACTAACTTCAACATTATTTATTATTATACTTTTGATATGTATTTTGTGCATATTTTTTTAAAGATATTCGCGGTATCTTTTTCAGTTATCCAATCGATTTTACTGTTGCTTTTTTGTTGAATGTTGTTTACTATCATGTTAGTTTTATAGCAACTAATTTTATATAGATGAAGTAGGTTTTTACGGAAACAAAATATTAAAGATAATGTTTCCTTCGTCACAAAATTAATATAGGCTTAAACAGATATAAAAACTGTCGATTGCCAAAAGAATAGTGGAAATCGCAGTCGCAAAAAAGAATTCAAAAGAATTTATAATCCTCTTCTTTTGAAAGACGCTTTCGAAAATTTTGTAAGCACATGTAATTATTGTAAATGGTATATATATTGTATATGATAGTTGCATATTTAATACTCAAAATAATACATGTGTCTGAATCAATATATATAACAATATTACGTAACTGGAATTTTGCGTATTTGAGATACGCGTTTATTGAAAACGAAACAAAAACCTCTATTAGCTCGGACTGCCGGCTGTCATTATCGGATATCAATCAACATTAGTGCATTACAGCAAACGAGCTACGGCCAGTCAGCACAATAAGCGGGCGAGGTGCGCCGCCGACGCGCCATGTTCTTGCTGAGTCCAGCGTGACTCAGCATTATCCGACATGAAGCATGACTCATCGTATTCGGGATCGCCCGCCGTCAGCTGAAATAAGTGGATTGCTGCTTCACGATTGAATGATTCCATTTTAAAGAGCGCTCTGTGATGTCATTACTCTGGACGTTTACGTTCGATTAAATTTCTCTCTCTTTCTGGAACACTGTTTATTTTCTTTATACAAGGTATCCACTGTTTAGACAGCTTTTTTGCCTCAATGAAGTTGTTAGAGACGCGATTATATCTTCGAAATGAGCGCTTAAGATTAGACGGTGGCGCAAATTACTTTTTAATGACTATACCAAATCACCTGCCGAGTAATCTATTTAAACTGTTTTTCTTGTAAACCTTTGAGTATTCATAAATTCACATAAAATAGTATTCATTTGTGTATATTGTTATAGTAATAGAGGTACATTTTAACAACTATTCGCATGTACGCTTTTCTGTGGTTCTATTATGCGATATTTTCGCCAATTATGAACTGATTTTGATAATTCATTATGTAATCAATATGATTTGCTCTCGTATTGATCCCATATTAATTTTAGCTTTCTTTTGGTCACGATTAAAGCCGCTGTATTTTCTCGGACCAAAAATGTCTTTTGTTGTTTCTAATGACATTTACAATGTAATTTTTTTTTGTTTCAGAGAATAGACCGTGAGAGTACGAAGAGTCCGGCGACCACTGGAGGAAGGAAGAAGGCAGCTGTGAAAAGTAACGGACAGATTTCAGCATCTGACCCACCACCGCAGCCAGCAGGTATGGTTCCTGTCATCTCTCTTTGTTTTTATCGAATTTTATCGATATTATATTTGATTTGTTTTTTCTGGTCTTAGTGTACGTAAATTCTTTTTTATTTCGGGATGGATTTACATCTAACGTCATGCTAAGGAATAATAAGCCGTAAGGTTTCGTATCTTGGTAGTTGTAACTGTATTGTTGGTATTCAAGATTGTTAACACACATTCATGTTATAAACTTCATTTAGTTAAATAGAATATAAAATCAGTTTTGCCCTTTTATAAACAATATTATCAAAAAATTTTGTTGAACGTAATCTTCGTAAATAATAATTCTCTGATGACTACGTGAAGTTTTACTTAATCATTCAATCGTTAAAATTTTATAATAAATATAGTATATACAAGTATTTTTATACACGGTATCTGAGTTAAATAAGATTTATAAATGAAAAATGAAGCTGATTTCTAGCACTTACTGGGAATCTTTGTTTAAGCTGTAGCCTTTGAATTCATACGACGAAGTTTGGCTGACTGTGTACAAAGGAACTGAAATAGTTTAACTTCTACAATGTAATTCAGGAGACTGGCGCAGATTGTACTTTATATAAACGCAGTCGTTTACATCAAGGAATGAAAATGAAATAAGTTTTGAATATTGCTTAGTATTTAATGTAACCGTTGCATTTATATGAGTGGAAAGCAATTTGCTCCCAGAACAGGTAGTGGACTATTCAGTCGTGATTGCTACGTGCATCACTATAGGTAGTGTGCAATAATGATAGCATCCAATTTATATACGTGAGTTAGTGACTAAAGTCCAATGGAGCTCTTCGAGTATCAGATTTAATGAATAGATATCTAGAGTATTCGAATGTTACACGTGTTTTGATCAACGTTCATAAGTAGTTATAGGTTCCATGTTTGTTAACTATGAATGAAACTTATCAGAGATAATTCGAAATTCAACAATGGATTTGGAGTTATGAAATGTAATATTTATGTTACGCTGAAGAATTCTCGATTTTGCTATACCATAACTTGATAGCACTAGACCAAGCGTTCATTGTTATTCTCTATAATGTTTTGACCGCTGCAATTGTAAAAAAAAAAATGTACCATATTCTTATATTCTACCTTCTAGCTTTTGCTCTGCATTCTTTATTTTTTTAACCTAAATGTGCCTTTATATATTTATTTTATACATTTACTAAATTATTATTTATAATTAATATTGCCTGATCTAGTAAATGTTGTTTTGCCCTCAATAGGTTACTATAACTTGAGAGATAGGGCAAAAAAAAAATAGATAAGATAGTTTTTGCCTTTAGTTGGAGCAAACAATACACATTTATAAAATGTCATTAAAACCGGTCGAGCGGTTACGGAGATCAACCTAAACTAATATTATGACAAGAGTTTTTTAAATTGTATAATAAGGTGAAGTGTACTTATATGTATAAACTACACGTGGCGAATATAAAATATCAAATAGCATACTAAATTTTTAGAGCTCTAGAGTTGTGTGCTTAATAGTTATATGGTATAGTAGTTCTGGAATATAGCCAAGTTCTCACATAAGCGGGTTAATGCCTAACCGACGTTCCGACGGCTTTGCTGTACATCCACATCTCAACGTATTCATTCTCCCGTGAGATTACGTCAATAAAATTCGTTGTACAAATGTTTTACTATATAAAACCTATCGAATACATAGTCCCTGACAGCGCAAACACCATTAACTGCCATATTTCAAAAAAGTTTCAACGTTTTTCTTTCTTTTGAACCTGTATTTGAATTTACATAAATTTGAATTTACATGACTTTTACTGGACTTATTGGATTTACTTTGAAATTCAATGGTAAAAGAGAGTTTGGGTTTTCATGATGTAAGATCTAGCTTCGTGAAAAATAAAGAAAATCGCTTTAAAAGCAATTTTTAATTACCCTGTTGATTAAAAAAAACATATATTCTCTTCAGATTTTAGATAGACTAGTATTATCTGTGGGTATACCAATTATTCTATTATAAATTTAATAAATTTTACTGAATTAGACATTATTTTTTGGAAGTCCATATAGTTTATTAGAAAAAACAAAAAGAAAATGAAACAAAATAATTCTAACAAATTAAAGAAAAATTTTATTAAACTTAGTTTAGTTCTTTAACTATGTAAGCAGAATTAGTTTTCCATTTTTTTATATTTATAACATTGGAAATGGGGAACAAGCTAATGGAAAGTGGAAACCGTATTAAGAATATTAATATACAACTTTAAATGAGTTAATAATATTTTTAATAGGCTTAGATTAGATGTTAATTGCGGACGTTTTCCATATATAAAATCATTAGTTTAGAATATAATATAATGAAATGATGTAACCGTTTCGTAATATCTAGAACAAAGCTGTTTAAGTAATTAATATTAGGTCCGATCCTTTGTCTGGCGTACAATGTTATCCTTTGACTGAAATAATAATTGTGATAAAAGCTAAAAGAATGAGCTTTCTAGTCTTGCGATCACTGGATCTGACAGGGCTGTGACGTTGCGGGATGGTGGGTGGCTGCTAAGGGGTGGAAAGGAGAATATACATTAAGGTTCTATAATATCCATTCGCCTAACGTACGTCGTCGTAACGTCGTAATTGCTAGATACTAGGAAATCGTAGACTATATAGAAAGAGAATACTTTTATTTACCTTAAAGATGATTAAAATTGCTATATCTGGACCAATGTAATAAAGGAAAGTTTGTTCGATTGAAGTTACAAATCTCTGGAAATACTAGTCGGAATTGTAACATTCTTTTAGTATTTGATATCATATTTCGTAAGTTCCTAAATTTTAAAATTTATAGGATTTTTGATACCAACTTAATAAATCGGATTACATGGCCTATTTATTTAATATAGGAATAAGAAAATGAACAAAAATTACACTTACTGTGTATGTATGTTATTTGTTGTTACTACGATGCAAATAGCAACTTTTTTTTCGCTTTATATTAGGTTAGATCAGCATTACATCATGCTTTACTTTCCATATACATATGTATTATGCGAGCAATGCCATGGGCATTCACCAGTTATAAACGACGTGGGCACCATCTGTTTTTTATTCGTACCAATATATTTAAATTGGACCGTGATGATATTTATACAGAATCTCTAATTCCATTCAACCAATTCAGTTCGAAATACATAACGAGTTCTCCCTCTATAGAATTACATATATATTTTAAGTATTCTGTTTTTATGAATGAGACAGCCGTTGATTATTCCCTGAATAATTCAAAATATATTAAATTTTGTAGCCTCGGGGCAATGTATTTACATAATAAAGAGATGGAATTTCGCATCTCATGTTTAAGGCGGTAAACGAGTCACCGGTTTGCATAATTGTCTTAAAAAGGACAGACTGTTATGTTTCTGTCCTTTAAATAAGACTAATTTTTAATAATTTTCTTAATTGTGAATTAGTATCTTTTTCTGTAATATTGAATCTTTAATTTTTTCCTGTTTCACATTTCATTTATTTTAGCGATTGAAATGTAAGCTTGTTTACTATTCCTGATAGATAGAATAAAACTGAAAATCTAAATGTTTTTAAAACAATAAAAATATTCTCAATCCGACATTTACATTATTTAGGATCAATGCTGAGTTTTCCTCTTTAGTTCATTTGCCGCTATTTCTATTTTCCCCTCTTATAATACAAAATCTAAAAATATCTTTGGAGTAGCTGTAACAGCAAAAAAGTTATCTGTTGTTAATCTAATTCTTGGGATTCTATGATATGATCCATTTGTATATTGAATTTCATTCAAATCCATTCAGTCGTATAAACGTGATTGGGTAACATACAATGCAATACATTCACGTACAGTTATACCTTATTATTTGGAAGACATAAAAAAACAGTTATTTCTATTTTTTCCCGGTTTAAAAATATCGCAATTAATTGGATATCATCAAATCTTTCTTTCTGATTTATGATTTCATTTTTATCGTTTAATTAAATTTCTGTTTTATAATCTGGTATAGCATTGATATAGACATGTTAAGCCCAATTAATTGATATAGCGTAAAATTTTTCTCTGACGACCAATTAATTATTTAATTGAAATGTCTACTAGAAACAACTGAATAAAGTTTATCATATTCATGAATAAGTACTAGATTATTATATAGGACACATTTATGACATGTAATAATCTGGTATATATAATATATGTATGTATTATACAACATACAATATAGTACAAATCTAAATATGTTGTTTGTCGACCTAAACTTTAGCCAGTTTCGTCGAATGCTACTGAATTGACCTGCGTGATACCTATTTGCCTATCAACTTTTAAATGTGAAACTAGTTATATTTCCAAGGTTAGTACCGGTAACTTTGATAGTGGCTATTCAACAAACAATACCGTTTTACATAATTGGGAATGTTTTGTACCGTTTCGCTCCACAAATACTTATTTGGAAGTCACGTTTTGAAACCATGCAATCAAAAGTTTAAAGGTCGCCTCGTGTAATTACGCTTTGTAGTTGAAAGCTATTCATTACTTTTCATTAAACTGAGGTTTTTCTATATTTATTTTAACTTTTGTCGTTACAACATTCTAACAACTTCTATTAACCGTATTCAATTAGTTGTTATATATTTGTTGTCCACTTTTGAGAATAAGTTTTTTTTTTTTTTGTAAAATGATCTAATTTATAAATGTGTTTTTATATTATTTGCTAACTAGCTGTGTCACGCGGCTTCACTCATGTGTATCAGTATCTAAAGTATCCTGTGTGCTAAGGTAGGATATAACTAAGGATGTAACCAACTTGTGTTTCAAATTTTATTCAAATCTCTTTAGTAGTTTTTGCGAAAAAGGGTAACAAACATTCATCTATCCTTACAAATCTTAATATTTATAATATTGATGGGCTAAGTACTATTTAAACGAATATTTTCCAGATTTTTTATATACTAGCTGAACCCGTATCTTCGTCCGCATTATCAAGA